ATATATATGTAGCTGCTTGTGTTTGGAGACTGACTTCTATCACTCTTTCTGACTTCTATAGCAGTTTCTGTCCAGCAGATGCTGCTGAGCCCCTCCACTGTCACAAAGCACTCAAAGGCAGACACACTTCACACTAGCCTTGCGCCAGTCCCAAATTGAGCTTCCCCTCCTTGAAAGACCAGCATCCGCCACTTCTGTTCACCTTTGTATTGCTCCAAACAGGTGTTTTTTTTTAGCATTCCTTGACGTTTCCACTCTTCTGTTGCCCCTGTCCCAGCTTTTTTCAAACATGTTGCAGGCATCAAGATCAAAATGAGGGAATATTTGACAGAAAAAAAGTGTATCCGTTTGAACATTAGATTTTGTGTCTTTTTATTGTAATAAATTAAAATATTTATATTCTGGTTTTATTTACTGTATGTTTTAGACAACGTCCCAACTTCATTAAAAACTGTCCGTTTCTCATCATGCTAAAATTTCTTCATCACAAGTCTTTATTTTCATTCATCACATCCTCCTCACTCTTAAACAATCTATCACCGTATAACAAAAAAACCTTCAACAAAATTATTTGTCAATCACTTTGTTTTCATGGATGTGTCTGTAAATTATTTGCTGTCAGTTTGCAAGGTTCATTCCTATAAAACACCGACACAGTTGTCTGCTTGTGCAATGATTTGTCACCTCTGATTTTTATACGCTCAGACAGCGTGGCTGACGTCCCTTCACCCATGTCCTGTGGGCAGCAGCTAACGCAGGGGCCTGCTGTCGTGTTCAAGCTGTGAGTTTAAGGTTCTGWGCAAAGCAGTTTTACACTTGGCTTTGAAACTGTACTAAGATTCCACATCATCTCACAATTATTCCACGTTGTTACTGCTTTTCAGCTCTGCACTAGAGAAGGTCTCATCAGGGACTGAAGTTCTAAATCCATCACAGAACATTGCTGCTCCGGGTGTTTTCCAGGAGACCGACACCAGCACCGTATTCATGCCTGCATGCTTTTATCTGTGTGTGTGCGAATTCAAGTTTCTCTCACTTCTTTTGTTTTAGGAAAAAGATTTGCTGTAATTCCCTAATGGAGGAGTCCCCCGAGTGAGGGGTCAGAGTTCAGCACTGAAGGGCTCAACACGATCGGGCCAAGTTAGGAGCTGTCAGCACGAGGGGAGATGGGCTCTCATTCTAAAACAGGCCTGATTTTTTTTTTACACGTGTGTTTGTGTGCTCTCGCACACTTTGTTTGAGCTCACACCTCTAAGTACGCACTCACACCGAGTTTGAAACGTTTACCTTTTGAAGGAGCCCATCTGTAGAAGCTTATTCATTACAGCGCCTTCGACTTGACCAAAAAAGTTTCCCGTCTGAAAAACAAAGGATAGAAATTTTAATAGATGAAATAATTACCAATTGTATGGATTCATACTTTTATAAGGCATTTAGAAAAWAATAATAATTTAAAGGTAAAAAAAWTGCTAAATCTGCAATTGCTTCATGTACATTTATGATGATTTACACCAGCCCAAAAGACGCAGATGCATCATCTTCGGATGGTTTGCTTAAATCTAATAAATCTCCTGCAAAATATTTTGAAGAACTGTGCATTGCCTCATTTTTCTGGAACAGATTAAGAGGGCTATGGGTGTTTCWACTTAGCAAACTATTTTAAAGGAAACTCCATGCGCACCAAAATGTACTAAAACATAATTTAGACAAAAACAAAACTGTGAAAGTAAACAGTTTTAACTGAGTGCTGCATGTGAAGAAATGTTATGGCTATAAATAAAAGCTATCCTGAAAAAAAATAAGACTAGTTAAATAAATCTCAACTAGTGCGCTCTAAATGCTTTTTCTCATCCACAGACAAAATGAAGCACAGCAGACATATAAAGGATGCATAAAAAGAACAAGCAGGGGAATGGAAGGGCAATGACAGCCAGCGGACTGGCTTCTGGATGAACTAAAGTTGGAGTGACAGCATGTCTGGTCACTGCAGCACTGTGTCTTTCTGGGAACAGTCCACACTCTAAGCAACATTTAGGCATTTCTTGCTTATATATATATATAT